CATAGTAAAGACAAATGAGGACAAACCGATAAACAAAGACACTCGCGACGCTTGCAAAGCAAGCAACGCAAGCAATGCAAGCAACGCAAGCAACGCAAGCAATGCTTGCGAGACTACCGTGAGCGAAACACAAAGCAAGCAAATCTTACGATGCTAACGCATGCAAACTACAAAGCAAGCGAGATACGCTTGCGAGACTCTTGTGCGCGAACTATAAAGAAAGCAACCGATAAACGCTTGTCATGCCAGGAAAACGAACAAGCGATAAACGCTTGCGATGCTACTGTGTGCAAACTACAAAGCAAGCAAACCTTGCGATGCCAGGAAACCTAGTTAACCGAGCAAGCGTTTCTCGCTTGCAAAACTCCTGGTGCGAACTGCAAAGCAAGCAAAGCTTGCGATGCTACCATATGCGAACTGCAAAGCAAGCAAAGCTTGCGATGCTACCATATGCGAACTGCAAAGCAAGCAAACCTTGCGATGCCAGGAAAGCGAACAAGCAAAGCTTGCGATGCTACTATGTGCGAAACATAAAGCAAGCGAGAAACCCTTGCAATGCTCCTGTCTGCGAAACACAAAGCAACCAAAGCTTGCAATGCAATGCTCCTGTCTGCTATAAAGCAAGCAAGCAAAGCTTGCGAGACTACCGTGAGCGAAACACAAAGCAAGCAAACCTTACGATGCTAACGCATGCAAACTACAAAGCAAGCGAGATACGCTTGCGATGCTATCCCATGCGCCATGCTATGCTCACATCACCTTGCGATGATGCTATGCGCGGACTCCAAATCAACCAAACCTTGCGACGCTGCTATGCGCGCACTGCAAACAATCTCTCCTCTTCCTTTTCACGTGAAAGGCACAAATAAACGAAGGCACAAACGCAACAACACGCAAAAAAGCGAAGACGCAGACGTACTATTAAAAAAGAAAAAACAAATGAATCAAAACAATCACTTCTATAAAACTATTTTTCCAAACGAATTAAACAACAGAAATGATGTAGCTATACCAAACAAAGTATGGGGAATAGACTTAACAACATTAAGCCAGCAACTCAAAAGCAAGCCAGATCATCAAATAAAACTAATAATAATAATAGATTTTGCTGCCAAAAATATAATAGAACACAAATTATTTTTAGTAAAAAACCATGGATGCATTAAAGCTAAATATATTACAAGACTACTTAAAGATTTAATAGCTAAACACAAAATCCAAGATGAAATCATAATGAAATCATAATTCATACAGACAGAGGTGCTGAGTTTCCATCTAAAGAATATCACAATTTCATTAAAAGTAATCACAATATCATACCATCCATGTCCAGAGCAAACAAACCAACTGACAACTCTGTAGTTGAACGAACTTTCAGAACAATAAAATATCAAATAGAAAGTAAGTTTAAGTTACCTACAACCTTTAAGTCATTATATTTTGCTGAAGTTTGCATAACAAACAAGATTAATGCTTACAACGAAAACTTCCCAAACAAGCGAAGTTTAGGGTTGAGCAAGAATGAGTTAGCCAAAACCTTAGCTGCCACAACTACGGCTTTACCAAAAGAATTAATCCATTGGAACCTAAATGATCGAATCAATCAAAATATTCAACAATTTAAAGCAGAAGCTATAGCTTCTACCACGGAAGGCAATAAACACATTGATTGGCGAAACATTATTATGACAACACATGACAACACACAGGACTTAAAGCAAGCTTACATTGAAAATCAAGCCAAAACTGACACACAGTACCAACACTTAAAGTTCCTTTTATGTAATCTAGTTGAAGATGTACGAGACCTCAAAGAGCATCAATTAAACCTAAAACCAAAGAAAAAACACAAAACTTTACCCTTAAGACAACCAGCAACTGATACTATTTATGACTTTATAATGAAACTCAAGAAGCCAAAAAAGTTTAACCAATTTGTATGGTCCCGCAATCGAATAGCCATTACCTTACTCTTCTTCCTAGGGTTAAGAGCCAGTGAGCTCATACACATCACAAAAGATATGCTTGACAATGGCATAATTTACAGTCAAATCGATATATATCAATCCAAGACCAATAAGTACAAAGTTACATATTTCACGGAATATCTAAAAAAGCAGCTAAAACAACATCTTTCTAATGACATCAGCTTAGTGTTTAAAAGAGACAAGGATATTCTTGGATGGAGTCAAAGGAGTAAGGCTATTATTACAGAAAATAAATGGATCATGACTTTAAACCACTTCATACAACCTGCAGTTCAACACTTCAACCTCAACTTAAGCTCTCATTCTTTTCGCATTAATTATATTACACAATTACTACGAAAAGTACCAATACAACAAGTTAAAGATTTAGTAGGCCACCAAAGCATAACGACCACAGTACGCTACAATAGATTTAAATTAAACCCAAAGGATGCCGCCAAAATAATTGACAGTGCTTTGATAAATGATGAACATTCTAATGAAGGAACTCATTTAAACTCAAGTTATTCTTGCACAATAAACGGCACGTTTTACACATAACCTGCCGCTTAATATAAAATACGCCCAAAAAGTTAAAAACGCAATACTTTAAATTGAAAAAAAAATAAGGCATTACCTGTTGATAGAAAATAGCTCTTTCTCTTTATTGTCGCGAATATCGAATTCAATGTCATGCTTGTTTTCCATTCGTTGAAAAAGTAATCCATTTGTTGGCATACTTTAAGCCTCGCAGAGATCTATAAAATCTTGAAGAATAATGATTCTAACTCTAGCGAGCCTTCCTTTATTTACTCTATACCTTTCGATTGTAGATTCGAATAAAGCGTTATCGAATTCAATCAAACTCTAGCGAACCCTACTATCTTTTTGAAACTAGTTAGAGATGTATTGTGTACTTCCACAGGAAAATTGATAATATTAGCAAGGCTCGTTAGAGTGAAAGGCGTTAAGCGAACAGAACTTGGGCCAAAGGCAGGCGCGCTAGAGTTTCTATGTTTTTGCTTCACAAGATGGGTCGGCTTCGGCAACCAATGAGTTGCTTGATTTGAATATTCATTTTAACTTGATTGTTTAAAGCTCGTTAGAGTTAACGCTTTCTTTACTATTGCTGACAAATTTGATAAAACTGTTTATTCGTGAACGTTTTGTGCCTCTGTCAGTGTGTATAATTAAGGAATATTATCTTTTTCTATTTGTCTTGCATGTAAACATTTGTGTAAAATAGTAAACCCCATCGCTTGCAAAGCAAGCTTCTTCCAAAGCAAGCTTTGCTTGCTTGTTCTTACGAAGGACGCGAAGTGTGCGAGCGAGCAAAAAAGCTCGCGATGGCGCCTTCGGTGCGAGCGCAAGCGAAGCAAACCCGCAAAACTTCAACTCCGGCACTGCGAGGCATTACAATATGTGCCGCGCTTGCGCTCGTTTTCTTCGAGACTCGTTAGAGGTGCAAAGTCCCCTGCGGAAACCTGCGGAGACATCGCTTGCAATATTGAGCTCGCCCACCTAAAGTAAAGGGCAAGCAAAGCTTGCCTTGCTTAGGGCCGTGGTTGCTCTAACGACACCTACCTATACGGCTCAGAGGTGGGCTCGTTAGAAGGCGCGCATGTAAAAATGCCAGAGAGCTGGGCTCGTTACGTTAGAGTCGAGGCGCGAAGCGAGGAGCGAAGCGTCGGGGTTGCAAAGCAATTATGGGCGCGGGGCGAGCGCAAGCGCGGCAATGCCCCGGTTGGGCGAGCTTGCTTGTGACTCTAACGAGCGTCAGGTTCGCTAGAAATTTGCGCGCCCATGCCATAATGTCCCGTCAGCTTCATTAAAAAGCAAGCTTTGCGATCTTCCCTAAGAAAGGAGCGAAGCGCAAGCTTGCCCCGGTTGGGCGAGCTTGCGAGTTGCTAGCGATCTTTCGTTTGCTAGGCTCGTTAGAGCAAGCAAAGCGGGGTTGCGCAACCATGAAAAAAAGCAAGCAAAGCTTGCGTTGGTAAACCTCCCGGTGCGCAACACGACAACAAGTTCCTTACGGAACCTTTAGGTTCGAAAGACGCGAAAGATTTGCGCTTGTGGAACTTCAAGGGAACAAATCTGTAATATCAATGCCAATATCAGGATCAGGCCCGGGAAGTGAATTTCCTTCGGAAGCTTTTTTGCGAAGGTCAGTCAACTCACTTTTATGCAGACGCACTGTCTCGTTTGCTGCTACGACTTCGTGCTCTAATCGCCCCCTCTCTTCTTTCGCTTTATCCGTGATAATCTCTGAAGTTATAGGGAATTTCTCAAGTTGATCAGAAGCCTTCTGTTGCTCCTCTTCGGCGCTTTTGAGGATTTTTTCTTTTTCCTTTATAGCGCGTTTTTCGGGAGTTGACAAGAGATCGCTTGTAGCTGCAACACCGGCGGCCACAGCAGCAACTCCTGAAGTGATAACCACTTTTTGGACTTCAGGGCTCTCCATTGCTTTCTCTGCTACTTTGCGCATTCCTCGCTTAGGAATAATGTTATAGAAGGTCTGATTGCACTTACTTTGAACTTTATTTTCTATAGGTAGACCACTGAATCTTGTCAATTCTAGTATGACGTCAGTCCAAGTAAAGCCAGGTCGTCCCTTATAGAGGTCCAACTGGTAATCGTTTAAAATTCTCCACCTCAATCTAAAATACAAAATCATATAGAAATGTAGAGTCAGCACCGCCCAGTAGATGCCTTGTTGAGGATCGGGTGAGACGTACATTTTTGAGATGACTACATAAAAGAAAATATAAAAAAAAAGAAAACCAAAAAAGGGGTACGAAAGCAAAATTTCTTCAAACCTTAAAGCAGAAAACACAAGATACTGCGTAATTCTATTATTCACTAAATACAGGCTGGTAGAAGTCAAATATCCCTTGCGATCTAGCTCCCTTACCAATCGAGTGACTAGATAAGTGAGAAATACATAAAAAAGAAAAAAAGTCAAACTAAAATTGAAAAACCTAGTAATGTAATAAAGTATGGGCGAAATTACCAAAAAAAAGACAATCATATTTTTCTTTTTTTTAAATTTTCTTTTATGTAGTCCGTCCCAAGCAACTTTTGCTTGGGATATAAAATCCGCAAACTAAAGCAAGCAACTGAAGTTAAGAGTTGCAAAGCTTGCTTTGCAAGCTTGTTTTCGAAGATGGTTTCCGTCAGGTTCGTCAGAATGAGCAAGCAAAGCGGGGTTGCGCAACCCGTGCAAGCGTAAGCAACGTACATAACGCGCGCCATCGCTTGCTTTTTCTTCGCATGCTTGTTCTACAATAAAGTAAGATTTTTAAAATCTACAAGTTTTAAAAGATTTTGCAAAGGAAACGGGCATAAAAACTGCCCGTGGAAAAAAACATTTAGCTCCGTACTTAATGCAAGCAAACGAAAGAATATGAAGCATTGGAGCATGCATGCATATGTTCATGCATGCGGTGCATAAAAAAATGTGCTCATCAGGTCTAAGTTCAGATGCGAAGCGCTTTTGACTTTCTTGCGCTAAAAACTCAGATTGAAGAATGGCGCGAAGCCATAAGACAAAGAAATCAAATAAAGAAATTTTAGTACGGGTAAGCTTAACCTCTCACAAAGCAACTACTCCCCGCCTATCAAAGTGATGGTCTTTCACCCATAAAGAGAATTTGTCTTGAGTAGAGTTTCCCGCTTAGATGCTTTCAGCAGTTCTCTCTGACCAACGTAGCTACTCAGCGCTGCGACTGGCGTCACAACTGATACACCAGAGGTTGATTCAACCCGGTCCTCTCGTACTAGGGCCTAAATCTCTCAATTCTCATAAACCTACCAACGGTAGATAGGAACCGAACTGTCTCACGCGTTTTACTCTTATGTTTCCATAAGTAACGGACTATATCTTCATCTTTGCATACATCTCCTGTCTACAAAGAGTCGGCGTGTTATACGGTTTCTAATCAGAAACAGTATCCCCGATCTTTGCAAAACTGCTGCCCTTCCTAACCTTGTATTGCATCTTGGATACTCTTACAAGCTGGGCTTCGGTTTTGCTAGATCGGAAGTCTCTACGGGGAATAGTGTTCTAAACTCAGATGCAACTGTATCAGAGAATATGTTTTTTTGAATCATTTAATTCTCCAATTTGATCAACTAATCTACACATTTGCAGAAAGTAAATTTTGCATATTCTTCCCTCGGTATTACCATGTGTATTCAAACAGTCAAGGCTTCACCGATATAAGCCGAAACTAAATAATTGCTTACGCATCTATTAACGCAGTGTCTTGAAAAGTTCTACGTTCTAAACCCAACTCACGTCTTTTTGATTCTCTTATTTCTAAGAGCAAGGACTTTCTCTTTTCCCAAATTGAATCAGATACTTCTATTCTAAATCTCCGTTGTTGATCACGAATTTCCCTAATTTTTTGCAAACCTTCTAAACTTCGATGCTCTTCTCGTTCCACATCATACGTAAAATCTCTTGGAATAAGAGAAAATCTATACATTTTCGAGATTGAAGAGTATTCTGTCTAAAGAAAGGTTCTACGTTTGATAGAAGTCTTTTTAAAGAATTTAAATGGATAATCGTTTTTTTGAAGTTCTTCAATCATATAAATTTATATATTTTTTTTGGGAATCTAACTTAAAGTCTCTGGGGCGCGTCGCTTCGCGCCCTGCGGATTTACCTGCTTGGTATTCCCGCATATAGTTAAATAATAAGACTAAAATTTTTGTTCTTTTAATCACGGCAATGAGTTTACCACTTTCATCGGCGAACAACCGAACCCTTGGAACCTTCTTCAGCTCCAGGATGTGATGCATGTTAATCCTACGTTTCCGCAGGCATAGACTATATCATCATCTTGCACAGACGAAGTGCAAGAGTTTGGCGTATTATGAAATTTGTGGTTAGAAGAAGCGCTTAAGCGAAAAAGACAGGCTAAAATTTGCGAAAAGAGTATCGCTACTATTACGTTATTTTCTAATTGCAGTCCGCTTCGCTTTTTATTAAAGTAACCTCTTCGTGCCATTTTTTTTTCATCTCATACTCTAAGAAATCTAAAGAACGGCTTTCGAAAACAGCAAACGTTCGTTTGCGCTCACATTTTGTAATTTAGTCTAAAAAAGACTTTGATATTGAAAGCCCCCACATTATTGATTAGATTTTCTTATTTCTTCAGTCGTTACACGGTTAAAAGAATTTATAAAGCATACTTGGTATCTCTGACTCAACCAGAGGTCGAATAACCTGACTAAATTTCTTTGCTTCTGAATGTTTACTTCCAATAGAAAGTTCTTTCTTTGTTTGTGAAGTTTGCTTTTTACATCAAAATTTAGTTCGAGTGTATCTTTTAACATCTCAACTTCAACTAATGTAAAGTTGTTTGTATGAAGTTTAAAAGCCTGACAATCTGTTTTCAGAGAGCCGTCATCTAGATACCAAACAGCCAATGCTAAACTAGAATGGAAAATTGATTTTCTATTTGTGGGAGCGATCTTTTTTCCTTTTTGATAAAATAGTTCTCGATAAGTAGAAAAAAGAGGCAGTGTGTAAGTATAAAAACGTGCTTTTTTATAAGTCTTCTGAGTTCGTTTATCATAAATAGTATATTTAGATATTGTACCCGAATAGGGTTCTAACATCTTATGTTTCCACTCTAGATATTCTAGTTGGGCTATATTATGATAAAAACGTGCACGACAATTTTTTCCATTGTATTCTATGTGTGTATCACCTAATAAGCTTCCAACTGCTGCGCAGCCTCTTGTTTTGTTGTTAGCATATTTCATTCTTAAAACTTCGCACGGTATTGCCATAATGTAGTTGAGTATTACACCTTAGGGTTCACCGTTATAAGCCAAATTTGCATAAGGGCTCACGCACCTTATGGACCCAATTTTATTCAAGTCGACCAGTATTGTTATCATATAAGCTCTTTATCTTATATATCTGCCCTTCACAGGGCAGCTCAGACTATGTCTTTTACTATTTTTTTCATATTAATTTCATGCAAATAAAATAGCAAACGGGCGCTCGTGGCCACCGATTGGCGGGTAATTTCCTGCGAGGTGCGCGTTTTTATGGAAAGGTTCGAAGAACGCGACTCGATTTGAATAAAAAACCGAGTGTGCTGCGCACTTAGCCTAGAAAAATCACCGAGATATATTGCTGGCATGCTCATCTCCTAGTCGTTGAACGTTCTCATCAAATCCCATATGCATGTTATGCACACATACTTCGTGCCTTGATGAGCTTCGCTGCAAGTTATCTCTTTTGTTCAAAAAGAGACGTTCTTGACAATTAACCCGTTTTCTCCTCGACAATTGAGACCGCGCATAAGCGCGAAGTTGATTTCATCGAGGTGCCAAACGACTCCGTCGATATGAGCTCTTGGGAGTCATCAGCCTGTTCATTTTGTTATGGCTTGCCTTTCTTAAGTTGCTTCGCGTTTATGCTTCGCAACACCGTTGTGCGTTTAAGGAAGTAAGCTCTCTGAATGTCACCATTCAGTTCAGACTATGTCATCTACTCTAAACTAAACAATATCACTTTCCATTAGCACTGTAACATCTAGTTCGCGCCTTACTCTATCGACCTTTCAGCTTCACGACTTTGAGATCTTCTTGGTAATTTGTGAGCCATTTGCGGGATCACCCAAGGGGACAGTAGTGAGATAATAATATCAAAACTATGTCCAGAAATTACTATACAATACTTTCCCTTATTTAGCTTAGGCCAACACTTCAAAGCAAATTTCTCGGTTAACTCTTGGCATAGTATTTGAACTTCAGAAAGATCGAAGCCTTGTGTATGGAGTACTGTACCAAGTCGGTTTTTTGAAGCGATACTACCATCGTCCATATACCAATAAGCAAAAGCACGATCTGTTAAGTGGTCTTTCACAATACCCGGTCGTATGCTTTTTCGGTAATTACGCTCTGCGTCTAAAAATAGATTAGCAAGAGGTAGAAAAGCCCTATGAGTTATTGTTTGAAATCGCCAGCTTACAACAATCTTGCCGTTAGCATTTCGTCGCTCAATTCGTTTTGTTTCTGATAAGCACCATCTTTGAAAAATATTATACACATGAAAAGCATAATCTTTGTGCTTATCTCCCCATTCAAATTTGATACGAAATTCTTCATGATTGGATACAGACTTTTGAAGACTAACATCACCTAAACAAAGGCCTATAGCATTTTCAAACTCTATCTGACTTAAAGAAGTAAGTTTTTCTTTATACTGACGTAAAAATTTTCGACTAGAACCAATTTGATCTTTGCTTATACACATGTTGAGTAATATTATGTTTAGAGCAGTCGGGCGCTCGTGGGGAACTTATTGGCAAGAGATTCCTCATTCCCTAGTCGTTGAACGTTCTTGTTTACACCTGCTTTCTTTTGTAAAGCATCCATCTCTTTTTAACAAGCTTCGCTGCAAATTGAGACCAGACAATGCACGCTGCTTGCATGTGCGCAGCAGTGATGCATGGTCTTGTTTTTGCAATTCACCCGATTATTTTAAGTATGTTGCGAATGATAGCAACACAGGTACGCTATTTTTTTTGTTACCAAAAAATGGGACAACAGTTTCATCCCCGGCGTACCTTTGATCCGTTGAGCGAGAGCCCTTCCGCACGGGACTCCCGGATCACTATGGCCGACTTTCGTCTCTGTTCGACTTGTAGGTCTCACAGTCAGGCAGGCTTATACCATTGCATTCCAAAGCTGGTATTTTTCCAGCTTGAGCCTACCTTCGCACGCCTCCGTTACTCTTTAGGAGGCGCCCGCCCCAGGCAAACTACCCACCATGCAGTGTCCTGCCTAAAAATGGCAGTTAGATATCCTCTGACGAAAGGGTGGTATTTCAAGGACGACAAAAGTCTCCCACCTATCCTACACATTCAATCAAGGCTATCACTGCAAAGTTATAGTAAAGGTGCACGGGGTCTTACCGTCTAGCCGCTGGTACTCCGCATCTTCACGGAGAATTCAATTTCACTGAGTCCATGTTGGAGACAGTAGGGCGATCGTTACCTCGCATTTTGGACTTTCTCTTCAACCTTGAGATATGGCGCGAAGCGCTCAAGCCTGCTTGACGTAAAGTCTCTGAGGCGCCAAAAATTTAAACAAATCAGATCTTGTGTTTTTTACCAATTAAAGCATCACGAATCTTAGCTTTATGTTCTTCCGAAAGTGGACCACGCTTTCCCCCAATCATAGCATCACGAATCTTGGCTTTATGTTCTTCTGAAAGTGGGGCGCGTTTTCCAGCAGCTAATTTCTTGCCCAGCATAGCTTTGCTTAATTTAGCCCGGTGTTGCATTGACAGCGAACTTCGCTTTGGCTTTTTTTGTGAAGTCACAATAGCAGTACTCATTTGGGTAAGTGTGTTATCGTCTAAAAGGCCTGCGGCTGACGTCGCCTCAAGCATCGTACTTTTTTGAGAAGAGATCGGCTTATCTTTGCTTTTGTGTCAACACTATGTTTTTTACCAAGTCTAGCCGCTCGTATTTTTTGTGAAAACTCGGCCGAATGCTTAAATCCACGCATGGAGCCCGCCAGTTTATTGACATTATAATGGGGGAGTATTCAATCAAAAAAATACTGTTCTCTCGCAATTAACTCAAATAAGTTTGATACATACTCTAAGACTCCAAATTGAAATTGTGACCAACCATGTTTACGTACAGCATTGTAGAATCGAGGACATGAGCCTTTCCCTTGAGCCACCTCCGATTGGTGTCGTTTTGTTCTTTTACTCAGAGTCGCCGTAGAGCCAATGTAGACTTTGTCCAATTCTAATATATTTCGATATACATAGACGCCGGGACTATTGGTCTCAAAATGTAGTATCCGGCCGGATTCATCAATGTTGTACCAAAGAATGTTTAGTTTTTCAAAAATTTGATCTTCTTTGTTCATTTTCTTTGTCTTATTCTAAGCGCCTGCGGGTTGTCCGATTAAATTGGGATTTCCCGCATATAGTCAAGTTGTCTAAAATTACTGCATCGCTACTTTTCTTGCGAAAAATTATGGCATAACGATATTAGTCTACCATTCATGCAGGTCGCTACTTATGCGACAAGGAATTTCGCTTGACTTTGTTGTTCGCTAAATCTCCTATATATTAACTAGTTAGTCTTTGCATCGATGATGGCTTTGCATCTTTGATGCGAAGGATTTAGTTACTTCTTTTGTTCACACAAAAGTCCGGACCTTATCTTCTACTTACTTTTTTTATAATCACTCATACGTTTTTTCAACAATCTTATATGATTTAACCAAGTATCAGTCTTGTCTTCTTTTTTCTTTACCTTTTGCAAAATACGAGCAAAATAAGAGACACATAATTTTTTTTTTGTTCGCAATCTATGATATTTCCCATTAATGTATAATAGGGGCAACAACTTTTTTAGAAGATCTTCACACTTTGATATTTGATAAATAATAAATCCACTTTTTCGTTGATATACAGACCCGCACTCTAATAAATTTTTTATTTTATAGCACAGATCCTGGTCTTTTTGATGTATACCTATAATAAACTGAGGACGCACTACTTTA